GGAATGGAGTTCTGGGAACTAGAAGAACACGAAGTGGCCTACAGTTGCTCCGGGCATTCAAAATCATGCCCAGGAATGGAGTTCTGGGAACTTGAAGAGCACGAAGTGGCCTACAGTTGGCTCCGGGCATCCAAAATGTGGCCGGGAATGGAGTTCTGGGAAATCGAAGAGCACGAAGTGGCCTACAGTTGGCTCCGGGCATCCAAAATGTGGCCGGGAATGGAGTTCTGGGAAATCGAAGAGCACGAAGTGTGTGACTGTTGCATCCGGTTACTCTAAATGTGGCCCGGGAATGGCGTTCTGGGATCTCGAAGAGCACGAAGTGTGTGACTGTTGCATCCGGGTATGAGAATGTGGCCTGGGAATGGAGTTCTGGGAAGTCGAAGAGCACGAAGTGTGTGACTGTTGGTGAAAAACGAGCCCGGCACCTGCCGCCCGGCAACTCCCAACACCTGCCCGGACCCCCCTGTGGAGTGATCTGCTGCTCTCTTTTGATCCCACTAGAAACCTATCAGTCTTCGCTGTTAGGTAACAAGGGGGGTACGGCAATAAGCTTGAAGCCATGCAACCTGATTTGGCGACGAAGCTCGCCCATTCTGTACAGAAGCGGGGCCCATCACTACTCCACGCGCCGTACCCCGTCTTTGCGGCTCCTCGACTGTGAAGCCCCGCCCCTCGCTCCACTGCAAGCCCGTCCCCTCCCTCCTACTCCATATCGTCTCACCTCGTCCTGCTCTGCTCCTCCTGCTCATGTATTGTCCTTCCCCTCATCACTGTAATGGCTCTCTCATTCCTACGATTTGCCGAATTCGGGCCCGAGAAATTCTGACCCTCGTGTGCGCGTGCGGGTGTGGAGAATATGATGATTGGTTAATCCTTATCCTCCTCCTCCTCCTCCTCCTCCTCCTCCTTTTCCTCCTCCTCCTCCTCCTCCTCCTCCTCCTCCTCCTCCTCCTCTTTCTCCTCCCCCTCCTCTTCCCACCGACCTCGCCCCCGTCAGCTCCGCCGCATACTGGGGCCGCTCGGAGGGGAGGAGAGGTCCGAGACGTTGCGCGACAGGGAGCCCGAGCTCTGCATGCTTGGCCTGGGGGGGCGACGCTGTGAAAGGAGAACGATATGAGAAGCCGGAGCCCATACGGCGGGTTCGTGTCGTGACGACCTGGGCGTCGGCTTCTGACGCCGTTCGGATCGTTCAGCCTTGAACGATCGCGGCTTTTCGATCGCGTGTGATCAGTCGACATGGTCCGATCCCACCGGCGGCGTTCAACCTCTGGCGCTCGCGCTGGGGTCGCTGCCACGTCGACACGCAACGAACCCTACCGTACGCAGAGGAGCGAAAAGCTGCATCAGCGTAAACTTTCTCCTCCTCCTCCTCCTCCTCCTGGGCTAATCATCACTAGAACCATTCCAACATAATAAACCAAAGTCATTATAGTATGGGTTCTGGAGCTGGGTGCCCCAAAACATTATAAGTCGAAGTCTATAAATTTCCCCGGGGGAACATGATCAAGCCCAATTAAGATTCCCGGAACATCACCAACCCCCATTAATCATGTTCCAGGGGGAACATTGCGAACCCTGGTTAACATTCCCGGAACACCATGAGCCCAGGTTCATATCTATGTGAGATCAATCCTGTTCGTACAAGTCCACCTCCATCCTCCTCCTTCCCCCCTCATCTTCTGACTGTTCCCCTCCTCCGTGGGAGGGGTGAGCACTAAGAACCAGGTGGATTTGTACAGTTATCCTCCTCCGAATAGTGCCGCGGATGACTCCTGCTTGAAAGCATGTCTGGTACATGCAATGAGTATGCGCATGTGCCGACAGCAGTGCGCGGGCCCACGAGCACGGAACAACAACACCTGAGAGACAACCGCGACGACCTTCAAGCTACTCGAGGAAATGCACTGCGAGTCGCCATCCCAGTGAGAGGCGCAGTTAGCGTTAGCTACTGACTTCGGAGTCCACCGATGAACTGGCTGCGCTGTGCGTCACGCCCTACTTCTGCACTGCCAGGGGGTACTCTCTCCTTGGGCGCGCTCTGACTGCGAAGCGGAACCTGCCCTGGCAACGGGAACCCTCAGATAATGGAAACATTACACGGTGACGTACCCAAACCTTGTCTGAAACAGGACAGCTGTATTCACGACCGCTCAACACAAACGAACATGACAAAAGACACGCACTTCGCAACTCCCCAACAAGGTCTAAGCTGGGTCCGCGTGGACCTCCACTCCGTTGGACCTCCCAGCAGCCCACGAAAATGGCGACACTTGCGCGGCTCGCAGTCCCCCAGGACACCGCTGGACCTTCCGAAGAAGCGACACTTCGGCGGTTCGCAGACCCGCGAGAGAGCCGCGAGGTCTCGGCAGATTCGCGTGGACCTCCACTCCGCTGGACCTTCCAGGAGCCCACGAAAATGGCGACAATCGCGCGACTCGCATCCCCCCCAGGAGCGGTGAGGTCTCGGCTCTCGGCGGATCCGCGTGGACCTCCACCTCCCAGGAGCCCATGCAAGTGGCGACGCTTGCGCGGTTCGCGGCCCCCCAGGAGGCCGCGAGGTCTCGGCAAATCCGCGTGGACCTCCACCCCGCGGGACCTCCCAGGAGCCCACGAAAATGGCGACGCTTGCTCGGTTCGCAGCCCATTCGCGACCTCCCAGGAGCCCACGATAGTGGCGACACTTGCGCGGTTCGCAGCCCCCCAGGGAGCCGCGAAGACTCGGCAGATCCGCGTGGACCTCCACTCCGCGGGACCTCCGGGGAGCCCACGAAAGTGGCGACACTTGCGCGGTTCGCAGCCCTCCAGGGAGCCGCGAGGCGTACTGGTCAAATAAAATCCGTCTGACATCTAGGAGCCCAGTCCTCCGTGTCCACCTCGACCCCCTCGGGCAGCTACGCCCATCACTGTCCCCACCCCATGTGGTGAGGGCGGCTATCGATACGTATCTGTTGGTAGGGCCAGGCTGCCATCATGCCTGGATCGCGAGGCTCGCACACGGGGACCGCGCACAAGCGGTAGAGCGTCCGTGCCCGCTTGGGCGCCCACGGGCCAAACTAGCCGGGGAGAAAAGGCGGGCGAAGACAAGGATCCCCCCCCCATCCTTCTAGCCGGCAGTACTTAGCGTGGAGCGAGAGGAGGAGACGGAGGAGGAGGGGGCGAGGGGGGGAGGAGGAGGAAGAAGAAGAGGAGGAGGAGGAGGAGGAGGAGGAGGAGGAGGAGGAGGAGGAGGAGGAGGGAAGGAGGAGGAGGAGGAGACGCACAAGGCACCCCTCCTTCCAGAGTGGAGCGCGGAAGCACAGGGGAACAGCCCCCCCCGCGCGCGCGCGTGCAGCCGGCGTACTGGTGGGTGTTGTAGTAGTTCGGATGCGCCAGGGCGC